TGAAATCACCTAAAGAACTTTCTGACTTTAAATCCCCATGCTCTAGTGCTAGAATAAAAGTTGTAACATTCAACCAACCTATTATTACAGTTTTTGATGACTCTTATTTACAAAGAAAAAGAAAAGAAATTAAGCTCCACCTTTTTTAGGCCAGTTTAGCTTTCCATTTAAGTAAGCTACAGATGCAGGTTCCAAGTCCAATTAGTTCATACGAGAGAAACAACTGTCTTCATTGAATTATCTAAGACTCATCAATAAAGGGAACAAAATCCACTAGCAACTTACACTATTTGAGCAGCAGCTAGAGCCCTCACAGCATCAGATGTGCCCATTTGAAAAACTACCCTATTTCTTTCTTCATGGCACGTTCTGAAAACAATATTGTTTGTTCCCTTCTCTACAAAATCAGTCGACCCAATGTATTCTGAAAAGTGGGAGAAAATATGAGTCCCCTAAAACTCAAATGAAAAGAAAGCAATGCACCAAATGTTAACTTCCATTATTTTAAGAAATAGCATATCCTCCACTAGCAATAACATCAAAGAAACTCAAATAACAGTCAACTTGGCTGACAACAGACGAGTGAAAGCCAAGATACCATGTTGAAAGAAATAAAGTTCTTCCAAACACATACAAATTGGATAAAATGAAAAGACAACTGGCGGGTTCCTGAGTATTCTCATTATATTAATAAGTCCAGAAGTAACTGATAACCCCTATTTAATTCATTCCTGAGTCCTCAAAAATATGAAACCAACAATTATTCAGCCATGCTACATCAAAGCCAAAACCAAGCAGGTTTAATTTGAAACCAAAAGCCTACTGCAGTTCCACCCATTCCATATGACTTTCAATCTACTTAACACAGTCTTATAGCTGTATAATTTTATTGAGGTTCCTCAGAAGTTAAAACCATTTACTGATTATCAAACTGGAAAGTGCAAAGAAAGAGCTAATATAGCTATTTATCTTAAGTATGGAGCAGAAAATTTACCATTTAATCAATGCCTCCATACGACTAGTATAGGATTGGTAATTCCTCTCTTGAACGTAATATGCACCATATAGAGCTGGTAACCTAAACATCAATGTTTTCTAAAGTAATTTATCAAATTCAAAAATTGGAACGAACCATGACCATTTAAAATCAATAGATATTATCACAAACTCTTTCATAGTCCACTAAAGTGCTTGCTTTTACGCTGCCGACCAAGCACATCAGTGCTTCTTGGCTGGAACAGGTGTCAGGATTTCAAAATTAGCAAAAATTATGACTTTAACATTAACTTGTCAAAAGCAAGCCCCACTCAGCAAAATGAAAGCAATACCCAATAAAGGGAGAAAACATGCCTGATTATACTCTTGCAAGGATCAAAAGTCATATAGTTTCTGGTTTTGTTCTACCTGCCCAGCTGTTCATTCTTAAACTGAAACCAACAAGATGTTGACACTCCTTGTTGTCATTAGAGCTTTGAAAAAAATAAAAGCATGGATCAATAACTAGTTGAGTCTAGAGTGATAAATTTTTTATTAACTTTTTTTCTGAAAATGTTCAATTCACTTCCTCGAGTTCATAAACATAAAACCTCAAAGACAACAAGAGCCTCCTATCAATAGAATATTCCCAATCTACAGCACAGAACTGATATTACTACAAACCTAGACATCTCAACATTAAATATACATGACATGAAGAGGTCAACGAATCTACTTATCAACGTAAGCATATTCAAGACAATACCTTTTACATGAATATACCTATTTGGTTAGATCATAGAAAATGGGTAGAGAAGGACCATTTTGGCTGGAAAATAGGCATTTGCTTTAGTAAAATTATGACACAGAATACATAATGCAGTTTAGTATTTAATTGAAGAAGAATGTTTTAGTAACGCCCTTTTGCTCTTTGGGCTTACTCTCATTGCTAGAATTTAAATGAGCTATAACTAAAGTGCTGAATTACAATATGTGACTCGTATTTAGATAGTGAACCTTTGGATTAATAGGTTCAACTGCAAAAACAGTTGGCTGTTCTTTTTTTTCTTAATAGAAAAAGAAGTATTATTTGAAAAGAAGGAATGTCCAAGTAAAGCAAATAAGACATCCTTTGAACTATCTCTGAAAAGGGCACAGGAAAAACAAAAGAAGGGAAAAACTAAGACATAAAATAGCACCCCAATTCCTTTTAACAGTAGACTAAATTGTACAAGAATAGTTTCTCACATATCCAAATTGCAAGTACAGACAGTAATCTCAGTTGTGGTGCCTATTCAGAGAGATTACAGTAATCTCAGTTGGAGCCCGAATTGGAGTTTGTTTGGACTTGTCTAACTGGTTTCCCCTCAAGTTAAACATCACCTCAAACAAACACTATAACTTCTTACATTAAAAAAATATGTTTTACTACTTTATTAATTTACCATAAGGTAAGAAAAACCAACTACATATATAATTTGTAAAAAAACCTATAATCAGCATTGTCACATGTTTCAACATTTAGTAGCAAGCACCTTTAGAGGCCCATTAGAGCATATAAGATCTATCATTCATCGGTATACCTTATCTGATCAGCGAATTTCTTCAAAACTAGTATGAGGCTCTTTCCTTTACATGTTGAACAATGCAGTTCAGCCCAAACAACTGATACCGATATAAGGCACCTGTGCTCTCCGGTAATGATTCTAAGATTACAATACATATAGTTCAAACTTTCTAACTCAGAATCGTTTCGATAAGTCATAATATGCCTCTGTTTACAGAATGCGGTTAATCGTTGCTTGGGAAGCAGCAAAAAGAGTGCATTTAAATGCGGACAAGTTGATTAGGAGAGACAGAATACTGGTTAATGGTTGCTTCTTGTGCAAGAGAGACACAGAATTGTGCAAACAGATCCTCTTGTGGTATTTGTTTGCTAACAGATTGTGGACTCTTGGTTACAGTCTCCTTGGTATTAATTAGGGGATGGCTAGAACAGTGAGGGATGAGTTTAGGAATGGAAAAGGATTAGTAGAGTGAAGAATTCAACAAGCCTCATTCTTTTGTCTACGTTCTGCATGGCTTGGAAAGAAAAAAGATAGGAGAATAATCAAGGGTATAGAAGTTAATTTTTATAGTCTTAATTAAACATGACAGTAGACCCTAAGTCTTTTAATTAAGAGTCATCCTCTTTATTCTTGTGAGGATCTTGAAGGCCTGATTGATTTTACTAGACATTTAAATACTTTTGCATATAGATTTGCAAATCCTTGATGCCTGTGAATAGATATTATTTTTATTTAAAAATATATATGCCTCTGTTTATGCAACTCACTACTGGTCTACATTACATCTGATCCTATTGGAATGGACCTAATGCAGCATCACTGCCAACATCAACTATCATCAACTTACCCCTATCAAGTACCCCGTGTGCAAACACAAAACCTCTTATTACTAACAAACATGTTAAGCAACTTGCAAATCCTTTAGTTTGGGTTTAATTCAAATGTTAATTCCATGGGAACAGAAACCGAAATGCAATATAAGCGAGACAAAGATTTCAACAAAAACAATATTTGAGTTCTAAGTCGATTATATGTTCAATTAAATTAATTATTTTTATGACTATCACTTGACAACTAGAAATGGAAATCCATCATCGTGGAGTTGAGTCTACAAACAAAATTGTTCAATTATGTGCCAACTATGTGAATTACATTTAAATTTATATATCAAATATCTAATCATTACGTTTATGTTTGTTTCAAACTTATTCTATTACTCTCGCCTATCGCAAGAGTAAAATATATATTAGGCCATACTAAAATTTAGTCTGTTTCTTCAATTCATAAATCATGGTGATAGCTGCAATAATTTATGCATCACGATTGCCACCGAGCTAACATTAACACATTAAAAAAAGAAAAAAAACAACAAAGCAAATCAAGTCCATCGGCGCACGCAAAAAAAAATTCCATACAAATGGTCAACTCGTTGGATTGAATTAACACCTTCATTTCTGATGCAGACTTATTGAGAAAACTTCATTACATGGACATACATATGATGCAGACTTACAGAGAAAACTTTATTACGTGTATATACGTACACACATATATATAGACACACAGAACCACACTTCTTTCCCTTGACTATAGAACACTCCAATCAAGATGAAGAAAAAAAAATTGCTCGAAAGAAACAGATTAAAGTAGTACCGTTGACTTTTCGCTCACATTTGAGGAGTTTATGGTCAATAATCTCTTCGCCGTACGTAATGTCTGCACCGTATTCAGCAGCAAGCAACCTAAGCGGTAGGGTTCCCTGGAGAAGAATCACCGCATAACAAAAGAAACATATTAGATCTTTCAAAAATTAGCTACAAATTAAAATGGATAAATATTAAAATATTTAATTTTAGTTTCACTCACAACTCGAACCATGGGAGCAAGCACCAGCTTGTTCTCGTACTCCATCTTCGGGACTGTTTTCTTCCTCGAAGTCTTCGACGATGCAAGTTAGAAGTCAAACGCACAACAAAAGAATACAAGCTGCGACTGTAAATTCCTCTATCGCTGGTTTGGGCTAAAGCCCATTTACTACTACGATTTTTGGGATTCAAAATTCACTGGAACTCTATTTCGTGTTATAAAATAAATAATTTTAAAATTAATTATAATACGTATAATTTATAGTTAATTAAAAATTAAATTTATTTGTATTTAAAAATTTTAATACAATTAATTATTATATATCATCAAAATTATTTTTATACTAAAAAATTATATACTGCATAATTTTGTAGATGATTAAAAATTAAACTCTACTTTATATTTTAAAAATTTTAAATACTTATCATATTAATTTTATTTTTATTTTTTAAAATATGATAATACCCGATATAAATTAATTTTGTTATAAATTTTAGGTATAATTGAACAAATTTTTAAGTTCCAAATAGATTATTAAATTTATTGAATAATTCAAAACGATTACTTGACTTCGAGATAAGTTAAGCTAAAGATCTTAATTAAAATATGAATCGTTGATTAAAATTTATTTTTTAAAAAGAAAAATATATAAAATATATAATGTTTTAATAAACTTATACTAATAATTTGAAACTAAAAGTAATTTATAATTAAATAATATAACTTGGGATGGAGGATTTATTATGTAGATATCTGATTAGTGGACTTAATCAATGATTTAAAAAGTGGGTTAAGTACATAATAGACATTATCTTCCAAAATAAAAACACTAAACAAAGTTTGACACCTTCATTAATGGTCTTTAAACACTTTCTGGGGCCAAGGCCAACTTCAAGAGCCGAAAAGTCTACGGCTTGTTTTGTCTTAATTTTTTCCCTTGATGACATAAGAAGAATCGTACGATTGTACTTTTAATCATGAAAAAAAAAAAAGATTATATTACGTGTTATTATAAAGTTATAATATAGTCGAAATTATATTTTTAAGTAACAGATTATTTTTTCATTAAATACAAAACTTAGTCAGAATTATGCCTTCGTCACTAATAAAATCAAATATCAATATGTCTAAGATGATTATTAGACAACGATAGCTTAAGAGCCATCCATCACATATAAATTAATATATATATATATACACACACACAATATGTAATTAAATTGTAAACGTTGCAAAGGGGTAATTAGAGTGTAAAATTAAATATATATATATATATTTAAAAAAAAAAAAAAGATGTGAATCTCCTCTAAGTTTGGAACTGCCAAACACAACCTTACTTGGGCATTTATTTCTCCAATGAAATGGAAACAAACAGAACCCACCTCCCCCAAATTGGATAGATTCTGGCCATACCCTCTCATCCCCCAAATGCAATCGCCTTTCTTGACCCGTCAATGTCACTTTACAAATTTACCCCCACTTTTATTCTTATTCTTTTTTAATTATATAATATATTATTATTATTATTATTATTATTATATATTATGGAAGGCACTTTGCCTCAACCACATATGCCCTCCCCCTGGTGAAGCCATTACCGCAATTACCTGTCTTCCATTTTCCCCCTCTCTATTCCCTTTCATTGGAAGTTTAACTCTTTTTTTCTTTTAACCACTTTAATGGACTCTAAATTTTTTTTTTTTAAAAAAATTACCCATTTCAAAATATGGACTATTTGCTTCTGCTCTGAATTAATTATATATATATATATGTGTGTGTGTGTGTGTATATATATATATATAGGTGGGTCACTTTTCAAGGATGGCCTGCGTTATGTTCTTGGGGCCCTGTCGTTTTGCTTACCCAATCATTTATCATTTTTTCCAACAAAAGGTGTGGATGGCCAGCCATTTCCCTTTTACGTCCTTTTACTTATTTCCTTTGTTTTATTTTTTTCTTCTAGTCTTGGTTTTATGGTTTTCCATTGTCAAATCCTATCATGGAAGTGTGTACCATAAAATTTCAAATTTTTGTTTGAGAAAAAAAAAAAATATATATATATATATATATATTATGTGGGTTGCACGAAGTTATGCAAAAATCACCCTTATGACCCCCCCCAAAAAAAAAAAAAAAATCAAATTAGGTTATAAATTAGTGATAGAATTGAGTATTTATTCTAAATGAGATTGGACCAAATTTTAATAAAAACAAAAATATTTCAAACCAAATGTTAGATTAATGTAATTTTAAAGATACATATTACTTGTATATTTATTATATTAGATCATAATGTTAATTTTTTTTAATATGCGTGTTTAATATAAATTTAATGCGTTCATTTAAAAGTGATCAAATATGATTAAATAATATTATACATTAAATTTAAGTATGAGTTTGTAATGTATAAATATCATTTTTATAATATTCTTATTTTACGATAAACGAAACGAGAACTTTAAAATTTTGTCGATGTAAAAGGTAATTACATGTATGTTTTCGCTTACATTTTTTTATTAATTTAATATGATATTGTATGTTTTAATTTAAATATATGTTAATGTAAAAATTATTTTTTTTATCCCCAACATGTAATATTAAAAAAGTTTGTCCGTATTATATGATATGACATTATAATAGTTATAAATAAAAAAAAAAAAAAGATAAACTTTAGACTTTTACAAACAATTCCGTGTTTGGTTATTATAAATGTATAATCTTTGTATACCGGGAAAACATTGGCATAGAATAAAAGAACCAGAATAAAATTATCTGCAACACAGAAACCAAAATTGACAGATGAATATATGCACTGCAAAAATTATTATTATTATTTTTTTGATGCATTGAATTTAATGCAATTAATAAATTAATTTATGGTCCCCATTAATTTGCCTCTATAATCCATTGGTTTTTGTAATGTTAACCAGTCTCTAACGGTGTTTGCCTGCCACGCCCACCGCTGGAATATTAACCAGTCTCAAATTTATTAACGAGAAATTTTAATTTATTTTTATATGTATACATTTTTTTTAAGTACTAATTAAATACATAAGAAAAAAAGAAAATAAATAAAATGTATTTTAACGTGATGTCATATTTTCATTAATAATTAATCAGAAAAAGAAATTCTTTTATTGGCTGATATATATATATAAATATATTAAATTGTGTCCCGATATAAAATAATTAATATAATCTCAGATAATTCTCTGGGGCGTAGCTGACGTGGCGCATGATTAGGCAGCCGTACTTGCTTTTTCGACCGAGCGATAAGTTGTTGACGTGGACGTGATGATATGCCAGTTGTGGAAATTGACAAATGTAGCCTCCCGATGATCAAAATTAAGCTTTCTCCCCGTTGTTTCCGTTCTTAACCGTCCATCTTCTTCGTCGGAATCTGATTCCACTTCCGGCACATCCGACGGTGCAAATTTCAGTATAGCTCTTGGGGGGTCACGAGTCTTACCGTGGGGAAGCGGGCACAGAATACAAATTGTTTCATCTGAAAGGAGACGATGACTTTTTTCCAAAACAATAAAAACAATTAGTCCGAGTTCGTAGGAATATTTATTTTTTAATAAAATATTTAAATAATATTATTACGTAAGAATATAATATTTATTTTTTATTTTTATTAAATTAATACTTTAAAAATAATTATTGTCTATATTATCGTATGAGTATATAACTATTATTTATATTATATTAATATACACGTCAATATATGCTAAAAAGACATTTTTTATTTATTTTTCGTTTAAAAAATCCCTATTAATCTCGTCATAATTACATGGGATAAGATAACTAAATATAAACTGCGAAGATGATTCCATTGTCACTTTTGCATCTTCGCGTGGTTAAGATTCAGTGTACGAATTTAATTACCAAAAAACCATACTAGTACACAATAAATCGTGTTACCAAACAAATTGTAAAGCAATTAGCATGGAATAGGGACAGGGTATTTGATTCCGGCAGTTGGATTTGCGGCGACCAGACGCCGAATAACTTTTGCACGACTTTCCACAAACAAACAGAGCCTTATTTTAAACCCCCCCTGGGCTCAAAGTCCGAAATCGACCCCACTCGCGTTAAATATTAGTTTTACGTATTTGAATTAAATTTCTTCACGCGGTAATTACTAATTAATTAATTCATTAAATAACTCAAAAGTGCGATATTTAGTTTAACAGCATGACAAATTTTGAAAAAAATTATAAGGTAAGATGAATTTAATTACTTCTCCTATTACTTGTTAATTTTAATTTCTTTTAAATTGAGAGATAGTGTAATAAAAAAAATTATTAATTAAAAATTTAAAAATTTTATGAAAATATTTATTATATTAAATTTACTATTTTGCTGAATTTAATGATTATTAATGAAAATTTTTAATAATTAAACAGATGTCATGTTATATTTATTCGCGTCCACTTTTTTTTTTTTTTTAAATTATCATAACCAGACAGTAATTCCGGAACTGAAAAGAAATTTAAATTGGATTTAATCCCATGGTTGCATGCGCGTGGGGTTACGTCGCGTGATGCGTTTGTGTATTTACCACCCTCTTTACTCTTCCAACCAGTTTTCTGCTTTTTTTTTTCTCTTAAAGAAAAAAAATTATTTTTATAATGTAAATTTCATTATTATAAACTGTATATGTTATTTTTAATATATGTAAATAGTATATTTTAAAACATGTTATTGTCTGTCACATTTGCTGATTAAGAATGTTTTTTTTTTGGGCAATGTAGAAAAAATAGAAAAATATCGCATTAAATTTGACCTTATAGTACTTTTTTAAAATGAATTTTAATTTATTATCTTTTAATAATAATAATAATAAGATTAAATGAATATGAGCTTAAAAATATCACAGTAAACGAACCACGCAACGTACCTGGATTTTAGGTCAATTATGGTATTTCTTATACACGTATATGTATATTATTTTCCTCATGTATATAGATCTACGTTGATGGAGATATACCTCAAGTGTTGCTTGAAATTAAATGACAGAGACTTTTTATTTATATGTACATTTTAATTTGTTACGCTCTGGGAAAAATTTATAATTAAATTAAGAAAATTACAGTTAGTATAATATATATATATTCATATTAATTATTTTATTTAAATAATAATATTGGTATTTGCCCTAAAAAAACTACCCATGCCAAGTAATCCCCCAGCTTTGCTTACGCTGTTTCGTATGCTTCAAAAGAAAAGAAGCAGCAACCATCTACGGCTGACTGGGCCCCACCAGTAACGTAATAGAGATAGACTTATGATAGTCATTTTTATCTTACTCGCGTTACCCTCTTTAAGGAATTTTTTATTTGAATTTCCCATTTTCACCCTCGCCTCCGAGGGATAGGATTTAACCATGGTTAGTTCGTTTAGCCATCCCATCTAGTTAAAGCCTGGTCAACCTGCCCTTTATAACGAGTCTCTCGTCGGCTACTCAAATACCGCATCATCAACTTTCTCTCTCGTTCTATTTTTAGAGCCAGAGCTTACCTTCCGCCTTTCATGATAAAAAAACACACCATTATCGCCATTATCGTTTATTTTGTTTTCTTAATCGCTGTTTTTTCGTTTCAGTCTCTTTAGTTCTCTGGTTAGTTCTCTCACTCAAGCTTTATAGCTCTGTTATCCTTTTTTCTACAACGCGCTGTTTCCTGGTTCATGATTCTGTTTGGCACTGTTTCTTATTGAAAACTTGGCTAGCCCGATTCTCGGAAACTAAAATGGGTCAAGCCGCAAAATCTTGACTGGCTTATCAGTTTTTATTTTTGGAAAAGTTCAAAATTCCACTAAGATTTATCAGGGGTTTTCTATTCTTCAGCTAAAAAAAAGGGAGATTGGATCCAGTTTTTGTCCAAACTAGGACTAGGCCATATCGACACGTCACATTTACGTGTGTCAAGTTCTATAAATTCTGGCTTGTGAGACTCGTTTCATCAGCAAGGTTCGTTTTTGGTTGCAGATAAAGTTGAGAACAGAGAACAAAAAGCAAAGAAATACTGAGACATGGCAGCCCACGGAAACGGAGAGTTCAGCTTTGTGAACGTGATGACGGCGAATAACGGGTTGAAGATCGAGACTCAGGGGAAGAAAGGGAACGAGATCTGTCACAATGACAATACGGCTACCGTTAAGGTGCAGACCATTGACGAGCTTCACTCGTTGCAGAAGAAGAAATCGGCACCAACTACTCCGATCAAGGACACAGAGGGCACCTTTGCCAATTATTCTGAAGAAGAACGCCAGAAGATGCAGCTCAAGTCGATCAGGTACGAATTCTACATGGCACATGCAACGCACGAGATATTTTATCATTTTTTTTTTTTTAAATTGTGTCTAAAAAAGTGCGTGAAAATATATTTATTTTTAATTTAAAAAATATAAATATGCACGGCGAGAGTGTGGGAAAGTGGGACCCACTGGGGGTGAGTAGGGCCCACTTGTTCAACATATCATCTGGCTTTTTGGATGATTCGTTGCGTCTTGCCGTTTGATTTTATGATACGGCTTACGTGGGTCCCGCTGATAGTTTTGCCACGTAGACGTTGGGATGAATGCCACGTCCACTGATGGGATGGTTTCAAATTTTTTCTCTTAAAAAAATGGCGTCATAAACGCTAAAATTTCCCCGAGAGTCGAACTACTTGGGGTTGACCGTGTTTGCTTGGGCAAAGTTGTAATTTCATAGAACTTTATGACTACTTTTGACACTCGCTCGGCGGTGACTGGTGTCAGTCAGAGTGGAACTTTAATTAGTTTTGAAAATAAATGTTTAATTAATTAATTTAATTTATTTATTTCTTTGGTTCAGTGCATCATTGGCGTCACTAACAAGAGAAACCGGACCGAAGCTGGTGAAAGGTGATCCGGCCCAGAAAGGCGAGGGTGTAGCTGTGACGCATGTGGCTCACCACTACCCTATCGCACCCGCAATCAGCGTTTCCGACAGCGCCTTGAAATTTACCCATGTCCTCTACAACTTATCACCCGCTGGTACGCTTATCGTTACCACAACAATCCACTGTAATGGAACCCCAGAAGTTTGAGTTTGGCTAATTAACGAGTTTTGGATTTGGTCTTTTGGTGATTGGCACAGAGCTGTATGAGCAGGCGATAAAGCATGAGAAAGGTTCGTTCTTCACGTCGACCGGTGCGCTGGCGACTCTGTCCGGGGCCAAGACAGGTAGGTCGCCGAGAGACAAACGTGTTGTAAAGGATGAAACCACTGAGGAGGAGCTTTGGTGGGGAAAGTAAGTCATCTGTGTCCCTAGTTTTAAATTGCTGTTCTTCTTTTACCGTTCTGTGATGTTAATAGTGGAGGAAATTAATAGTCAATTAACCAATTATTAATTGGTTTGACGTGATTTGTATTGCCAAACAGGGGCTCACCCAACATTGAAATGGACGCGCATACTTTCTTGGTGAACCGAGAAAGAGCTGTTGATTATCTGAATTCTCTGGACAAGGTAATTAAAGTCTAAATTACGGTTGTTTCTTCATGATAACCGAGATTTAAATTGATTTTCTTTCTGATGATTGAGATTGAGTTAGGATTTTGAAAATAAGGGGGTTGAGAATTTTGCTGATGTATGTTCATGTTTATCTTTGTGTTGTTACGAATTGCCTAAATATATATATATATATATGTTTACACACGAGAATGGTGGTGATGTAGATAGGGTATCTATATTGTCTTTACATCCAAGTGGGCCTGTTATGGAGCTTGTAGCCTGTATAGCCCCACCTCATCTCTTAGATGGAGCTACTTTGTCTTCATTATTTGGGTAATTTAGTTATACGCGTTTGTCAAGCTACCTTCCTTGTTTGCCATTACCCTGCATTTAATATGTACTCTTCTCATATGATCCATTTCAAGTACAGCATCTAGTTTTTTAACATAATCTTGTATGCACACACTCACAGGCACGTATATATGCATATGAGACATACTAAAGGCAGAAAGTTTTTTACAAAGTGACGTCGCAGTGATGCATGTAAAATAAATTGAATAAGCTACTGCATCTTGTATAAATCTTTATTTATCTGGCATTATTTTGTATAAATACTCATATAATATATGCATTTCTAGTATAAATATTGTGGATGTTCAAATTGAATGGTAAAGTTTTGTCGTGCAGATGTTTTAGATTGGCTACTTATTGCTTTGTCAACAAGCTATATCAAATGCCTACCACAGAAAAAAAAAAAAAAAAACAAGCTGTATCAAATGCATGATTTGGTAACTGAAACTAACTTGGAAGTAATGGTGTGAACAGGTGTTTGTCAATGATCAATTCTTGAACTGGGATCCACAGAACAAAATCAAAGTCCGGATTGTCTCTGCTAGAGCTTATCATTCATTGTTTATGCACAACATGTAAGTAAAACACACCAACCAATGTTTCTGGCATTTTATCAGCAGTAATTGTCTTTGTTATCACTTACACAAAGCTGTAAGCCCTGACAGATAAGTCTCCTTAACGTTTACCATATAGTGTTAATTTTGATTTATGATTAATCCATATCCGATAGAGGTAAGAACATGTGAAAAGAATGTAAATGGTCAATTAGCTTAGTGTACGATTGGATAACTGGGTGGGTGGCAGGTGTATCCGACCCACTCCTGAAGAGCTGGAGAATTTTGGTACTCCGGACTTCACTATTTACAATGCTGGACAGTTCCCGTGTAACCGTTACACCAACTACATGACATCCTCCACTAGCGTAAACCTTAATCTTGCTAGGAAGGAAATGGTCATCCTTGGCTCCCAGTACGCCGGGGAAATGAAGAAGGGTCTTTTCAGTGTTATGCATTATCTCATGCCTAAGCGTCAAATCCTCTCCTTGCATTCTGGCTGCAATATGGGAAAAGATGGAGATGTTGCCCTCTTCTTTGGTCTATCAGGTATAGTATCAACAGAACAGTCAGATAAGGGTCACTCTCGGCATATGTTATGCACTCAATCTCTTATCCTTTCCTCGATTTGATATTTACTTGGCTCCTAGCCCTTTTCCCCAATGCTTCTTATGCATTTTTATTGAATCAATTTGTTTCAATGATTGTCATTTTAGGAACTGGCAAGACAACTCTGTCTACTGATCAAAACAGATACCTAATTGGAGATGATGAGCATTGTTGGAGTGAGAATGGTGTTTCAAACATTGAAGGTGGTTGCTATGCCAAGTGCATTGATCTCTCAAGGGAGAAGGAGCCTGATATCTTCGACGCTATTAAGTTTGGAACTGGTAATACTAAGTGCTTATGGAGAAATGTTATTTTGAAAAGCTGATCCTGATCCAAAAATGCTTGCTTTGAATTAAGAAAATTTTATCTTGTCGTGAATCTGAAATTGGAGCTGGTGATTGTGTCTTGCAGTTTTGGAAAATGTGGTGTTTGATGAACACACCAGAGAGGTGGATTACTCTGACAAGTCTGTCACAGGTAAAAAAAGTCTTAGTTTTTCCTAACGAGTGTCATGAAATTGTTGAAAGTCTTAGCAAATACTCTCTTGTTACAGAAAATACCCGGGCAGCCTACCCAATTGAATACATCCCAAATGCAAAGATACCTTGTGTTGGTCCACATCCCAAGAATGTGATCCTCTTGGCATGTGATGCCTTCGGTGTGCTCCCACCAGTGTGCAAGCTGAGTTTGGCACAAACCATGTACCATTTCATCAGTGGCTACACTGCTCTGGTATGTTTTGCCAAACAAACCAAAAACTTCAACTTGACTTGAAGGTTTTCATCGAGGGGGGGAACTCTTTATGATAATTGGCATCTTTTTGTCTAAATATAGGTTGCTGGAACAGTAGACGGCATAAAAGAACCACAGGCAACATTCTCAGCATGCTTTGGTGCAGCATTTATAATGATGCATCCTACAAAATATGCAGCCATGCTAGCTGAGAAGATGGAAGAGCATGGTGCAACTGGATGGCTTGTCAACACAGGCTGGTCTGCTGGAAGGTAATACATATAAATTACTTGAGCTATAAATTGGATTATTGAAGTTTTGAAATTTAAGTAGTGAGGAAAACTCAAATGAAATCATTTTTCTTTACCACTTTCTGCAGTTATGGCGCCGGAACCCGTATTAAGCTGGCATACACCAGAAAAATCATTGATGCCATCCACTCCGGCAGCTTGCTGAAGGCGAAGTACAAGAAAACCGAGGTCTTCGGGCTTGAAATTCCTACTGAGGTTGAGGGAGTGCCTTCTGAGATCCTTGATCCAGTGAACACATGGGGAAACAAGAAGGAATATAATGAGACACTCTTGAAACTAGCTGGTCTGTTCAAGAAGAACTTCGAGACATTCACCAACTACAAGATTGGCAATGATAACACTCTGACCAATGAAATTCTTGCTGCTGGTCCGAACTTCTAAATTTTTGCAAATAAAGCTGGTTCGAGCAACAAGAGAACCGGATGAAGAGAGGATGGAGTTTGATTGATAGAAATAAAGAGAATTTATGTAGTTTTCTTGCTTCCTTAATTCGAGAATTTCAATTAAATTTGTTGTCCCAAAAGTTTTTGTTGGTTTAATGCAAAATTCTTTGGAGCGGTTGGATGCAAATTGACTCTCAATTCTTTAAAGTACGATTTTTCAATTTTGATGTGGCTTGTTCAACTAAGCACCCTCTCGTTTCTTTGCATAAGAAAAATTTGTGTGTCAAGTAATTTTTTTTGGAAGCAATTCCCCAATGGGCATGGCTGACTACCCACCCATTTTCAATTTCTTCAAATCTTGTGGATCAACATCATCCCACTTTTAATTTGGTGTATTATCAGACATTTATGTTGTAGGATTTCTCTTTTTATTTATGTTCATTACAAGAAAATCCAATATTTATTGAACATGGAAGTAGCATTTTATTTTGAAACTAATTAAATTATATTTCAAACAAAATTAAAAAAATTACATAATTATTATAAATCTATCTATGTTTAGCTTTATTAATTGCATGTGAAATAAAAATGTGGATTTCATCTAGAATTTTAATTATATTTTATAATTTAATATGAATCTGACTTTTATTATTTTAAGTAGGTCTCTCGTTATTATTATTTTTGATTAAAATAAATATCTTTTAACACTCACCAAAAATTTATTATATTATATTTTATTTTTAGTAAAATCATTTTAGGAAAAAAAAATAAAAATTTTTCGTTTTAATTTTCAAATAAAGGAGGAAAATAAAATAATACATATTTAATATTGCAAAAATGAAGGGCAAGTCAGAAATATATTTTTTTAGTATCTGTTTAACATAGTTTCTGCTTTTGTTTTTCTTGTTAAATAAATAAAAATCTTATTAAACGTTAAAAATATAAATACTCAATAAATATATTTTTTATTTTTTACAAAAATAAAATCAAGAATTAAATCTATGCCGTAGTAAGTAAATAATGTTTTCGACAACGTATTTATTAATATTATATTTCATTGATTAATAAATTTAAAATAAATATATAATATTATTTTTTAAATATTTTATATTATAAATTATCAAGTAATATTTATTAAAAATTAGAATTAAAATGATTTAAAATTGATACTTATATTGAATAAAATAAATAATCAAATTAAATATTTTCAAATAATTTAAAATTTTCAATACTACAGAGTAAAAATAGTAATATTTAAATAAGTATAATAACTTATAAATTCTCAAAAAATTTATAATTCAACAAAAATATGTGAAAATCGAAGGCAAGGCCCAACTATACCCATCATTTTATGGAGCGACCCGGCCCGGATCATGCCAGCTAGCCATATCAGGGTAAGGGGAAGCACAAGCTCGAGTAGAAGGATAGTGCGCATTACGCACCGGCTCACTTTAGCACTCCTCCTTCTTTTGTTTCTGGGTCCTTCCGTTTGCTCTCTCCCCCTCTTTTATTCCTCTTGAAACGTACTTCCGGAATCCTATCTCGCTTAGGTCATTCGCTTCCATAACTTGCAGATTGGAGCGCCGCACCTCTCTCCCTCGCCATAGGTTTCGTTGCAAAGTGTTCGTCGAGTCAGGATCCTGAAATTCGCGATTCAGATCTAATTTCTTCGGCTTTTCGTGCCGATTTTGAGGTATTAATATAATCTCTTATAACATTTTGCAATTTTAAATCGTTTTTCTGTGGTTCTTCACGTTTCCTGCGCTTCTTTTACTTTAATTTGGGTGGATTTGATTTGCCCTGAAATTCTAGTGGTTATGGTTTAATTTTCTTGTTTTCGGACTTTTCGCGTTCTTATGTTTTCGTCTATGTTCATTAAGCTTTTTCTGTGGGTTTCTCTTTTTTCCGGGTCAATTTGTTTGGAATCGTAAAGGATAGTTGATCGGAGCATTTTCTTGATAGTAGGTTTTCGGGAAATCTTTTTACGTTTGCAGCTTTTGTTTACTAAAGCTCTGGATGCGTGTCGGGCCTAGGGTTTCTCTCTTTTTAAATGTTTTCTAGATTTTGTCAATAGGAAATTCAGGTAGCTGCTTCTTCATCAAATTGTTGCTCTTTACATTACAAAATATATTTGAGCGTCTAATGATAGTATTTTTTTTCCACTAATTAACCGTTCTAACACTGTCTCTGGCGACATTTGATTCCTTTTTCAGAGGTCTATTATCTACAAGTGGCTGATCTAATTAGTTTTTGCTAAGCAACCATGCGGAGATATGAAGATGTAAGGCAATTTGGATATAAAGTCTAACTTCATCAGTTTAACTCCCTCTCATGAAATGCTGTATTGAATGTTCGGGAAGCTTGGCTGATTAAAATGTCATTAAGTTGATATTTTTTGTATATGTAGGATCTAGATGAGTATGAGGAGTATGAGGAGGAAGGAGATGAACGAGAGGATGGCTATGAATATGAAGAGGATGGAGCTGGATATGAAGAAGCGGAGGAGGGGGAGGAGGAAGAAGAAAAAGAAGAAAGGAAGCCAACACAGGAAGAACTGGAATATCTTGAATTAAGGCAGAGGCTGAAAGACTCTATTAGAAAGAAGATGAAGAAGGAGAGCAGTTCTGCTCGCATGAATTTGCAAGAGAAAAAAAGAAAACTTCCATATGACAAGTGAGTGATGGGCTTATTTGTAGGTACATATGATTGATATCTTGTGTGTGGCTCCTTTTAGATGATTTCAATGCAGCTATGTGTATGGTCTTTTGTAGCTCATGTTGTTTAGTTGTTTTTTATGATGTTCATGTTTTCAATTCAAAAAATAACAACCTAATCTTTTAACATAGTTTTGAATGTTTGTTCCAAAAAAAACATGGTAATGAATATGAAGTTGCAGTTCTAAACTATATTCGAAATGTTCTCTTCTGCAGTTACGGATCCTTCTTCGGCCCATCTCAGCCTGTTATCGCACAAAGGGTGATTCAAGAAAGCAAGTCTTTCTTAGAAAACCAGCATTTGGAGTCTAGGATATTGAATTCCAATCGGAGTGTATGTATCACAGCCTGTACTTTTTAGGATGGTACATTGGACTGCATGTTGGAAAACCTATATTTGTGTCTTGAATTGTAGATTTGCATCCTTGTAGAGTCTAGTGCTTTAAACATTGATCAACTAACTGGGCAGTTACACATCTCAAATTGATATGTCTGAGGGTTTAACTCTTTAAACTATTCATAACTCCTTTTAGGACTGAACTATATCTTAGCCATTTGAAATTGAGGAAAATGTTAAGACTAAGTGCTTAGTTGTGAAACTTTCATTTGACATCACAGGTGATATTTTTTATGATATTTGCTTTAACTGCTGCTTGTGAGTATATGCTTTTACAGTAGTAGGATTTTGCTTCCAATAGAGCAACTATTTATGCTGTGGTTTCCTGGATTTGTTCACTATAACTCAAGGGACTATGGGAAGAAAGTGGCCTGTTGAATTGAGGCTTTAGAAAGCTGTCACGTAAGAAGGTTTGGAAATTTAATCGAGTTATTGAATGGTGTTCAGTTGTCAACTAAATATCGATCTTATTTATTTGTCCGAAATGGGCTGCTGCATAAGTACTTCTAGGATTTTGCGTCAAGTAAATTATTATCTTTTCTTCTTTGATTTTTTATCTCTATGTTGTTTTTTTCTCATTTCTTTTGTCAAACATCTATAATGCGACCGAGAAGAAATTGATAAATGTTCCAATTTGCTTTATGTAGTTTCTTTGTTTTCTGATGGAGCTTAGCTTGCGTGCTCAGTTTGTTGATTGTATGTTGTGGT